AGCTCCTGGGGCCAGGTGGCTTTTCAGCCCCAGGTGGCTGCTTTTCAGAATAGAATGGTGTGCAGGCTTGGCTGCTCCCCGATGGCCTGCCTTGCCTCCCTTTTTGACCCACCCAGACCTCCAGCTTGATCTCACACCCTTGGAACTGAGGGAGGAGCCCTGGAGGTAGATGTAGCCTATGCCTTCCAGGGAAGTGAGTCCCTTTCCCTGATGTCAGTTTTCTTCTCACTAAATAGAGAGGAATCCTCTACCCAGAGTAACCATCAGTGTGAATGATGTTGTGGGCAGGGAACAGCCTGGCCTCTTGTCTCAGCCAGCTGCTGCAGGGACCACTGGCTGCCCCTTGGGAATCATGACTGCTTCATCCTGGGGTGAGATGGAGGTCCTGAGGGGAATGGTGGAGGGGCCTGGACCATACCTGCCCAGTGCCTGGCGCTGCCTGCATGGATGTAGTATCGCAGCTTCAGAACCAACCACTGCTGGCCTTGCCTACACCCAGAAAGTAAGGTGTTTTGGGGTGGGCGTCTGAAGGAATGGGCTGTGGGGTCATGATGGAGCTGCCCCTGGGCACCAGCCGTGCCCAGAGTTCTCCCTGGATGTCCAAGGGATCGTCCAGAGGGAATTCGTCAGCAGAAGCAGAGCATGCAACCCCAAGGGGAGGTGAGCCCACCCTCCTTCCTGCACGCTCAGTGCCAGAACTAGCTGCTCAGAGTGGCTTGGATTCTGGGAAGTAGGAGATGCTCCTGGGGCAGCTGATGATAAGACAAAGTTCTGGAGGCCCCCATGGCTGCAGCGGGGGCAGGGCTGGAGCCACCTGAAGGCCTGGGCTCTGGCTTCTGGGGTAAGTCAGCCTCTTAGGCTGGGGATTGAGGGGGCCAGTGGCTTTTCAGAGGTCCTGTCCTGCTGCCGATCCTGCTGACTCTGTGGGATGGTGGGAGGCAGGCATAGCGGGAATTGGACTGACCCACATCCCAGTCTGCCTCTACCCATGTCCTGGGGGCCTGGAAGCTTGTCTGGATCTTAGTGTGACCACCTCTACAACAGGACCAACCATCTGAGAAGGAGCTGACTCTGATGTTCCCTGAGACCCAGGACTGTGGATGAGGCAGGAGAGAATTGCGCCTTTATGACCTCAGGCAGCCTCCACTTTCCCATCTATAAATGAGAATTTCAGACCCAAAGTGCTTAGGGCCCCTATGGCAGGGCAGGAGTCACTGAGCCTTTCCAAGGCTATGGGCAGGTATTCACCGAGCACCTACTGTAGACCAGACACTGCTGGAGGGGCTGCTTCCTGCCCTCTTGGAGCTTCTATTCTATGTGGGAAAAGAGAGATTAAACAAGAGAGCAAATGGCTAAACAAAAAAGTGGAGAGACTGGAGGGCTTTCTGCGGAGGCGGCACCTAAGCACAGTGAGTGCGGAGGAGGAGGCGGTGGCACCAAGCCCTGCAGGAAGAGCCCCCAGACCCAGGGAACAGCATGTGCCAAGGCCCTGATTGATGCGGTGGGGACGAAGACTGGCGGTTCTGAAGGCCAGGTAGCTGCAGCCTGGTGATGGGGCCGAAAGTGTGACAGTGCCTGGGGCTACAGGTGGTGTTTGGTCCCCTGTCTCAGAAATCCAAGTGATGCTCAGTGCACTTGCTTCCCTATGGGATGGGCACTCAAGAGGCTGGCCTTACCTTGTGGTGACCCAGGTTGAGCCCCCAGAGAGTCTGCTAGCAGTACCTGGTCCATGAGCAAATGGAAGAAGAGTAAATCAGGGGCCGGGTGCAGTGGCTCATACTCAAACCCAGGACCGTGGGAGGCCGAGGCGGGTAGATCACCTGAGGTCAGGAGTTCAAGACCAGCCTGGCCAACATGGTGAAACCCTGTTTCTACTAAAAACACAAAAATTAGCCAGGTGTGCCAGGCGTGGTGGTGCACACCAGTAATCCCAGTTACTCGGGAGGCTGAGGCAGAGGTTGCAGTGAGCTGATATTGCACCACTGCACTCCAAGCCTAGGTGACAGAGTGAGACTGTGTCTCAAAAAAAAAATAAAAAAGGTGAGGCCAGTCGTGGTGGCTCATGCCTGTAACCCCAGCACTTTAGGAGGCTAAGGCAGGTGATCACAAGGTCAGAAGACTGAGACCATCCTGACCAACATGGTGAAACCCCGTCTCTACTAAAATATAAAAAAATTAGCTGGGTGTGGTGTTGCAGGCTTGTAGTCGCAGCTACTCAGTAGGCTGAGGCAGGGGAATCTTTTGAAAACTCAGGTGGCGAAGAATGCTGTGAGCCAAGATCGTGCCACTGCACTACAGCTGGGTGACAGAGCAAGACTCCATCCCCTCAAAAAAAAAAAAGTGAATGGGGGAATCCTGGCCAGCCCCTCACTCACTATGTGACCTTGGAAAAGTGCACTTCCCTCTCTGGGTCTCAGTTTCACTACTGCCAAAATGTCTCCTGAGTCATAGTTCTCCTCTCAGGCAGCTGGGGAGCACTGGGCTTGTAGCAGACCCTCCTGGAAGCTCATTCATCTTCCCCAGGACAGGCAGGCTGCAGCCAGCATCCAGCTCTCGGCCTGGTGAGGTGGCGCGCCGGGTGGGGAACCTGCGTGTGGCAGAAGTGCACTCCTTCCCCTCCGCCTGGTTTGCTTTTTTTCCCCTTCTCTTGCACCTGTGAAAGGCTTTCTGCTTTCTGTGAAAGTCCACTGTGCTCCAACCTCAGCCCCTGGGCTGGTACCTGGAGCCCCCATCCTGCAGGCTGGGGTGCAGGGGAGCCTTGGAAGGGCCTCCAGCCCAGTCTGACTCCTGTGGTGATGGACTTCCCAGACTCTGTGCTGCCCCATTCAACGTCCTTCAGGCCCGAGACCCCAGGAGCCACTTCCCACTCAACCGTAGGCATCCCTTCTCCCCACCCAGGGGGTGGCCTCCTGTGCCTCTGGAAGGGGGTGGCCTTGGGGAGAAAGGGGAGGGAGGATGGTAAAGAGGCCAAAGGTCAGCATGTGTCCAGCGTGTGTCCAGGCTCCACCGATCCACGGATGGGCAGTGGGGAATCCATGGATCCAGGCCCTGGGTTGTGGGGTGGGAGGGCCAGGAAGTAGTGGGGAAAAGTGTGGCGAGAGGCCAGGCCCAGGCAGCACCGACACACTGGCATGGAGCCCTGCAGCAGCCTACTCCCCAGTAGCCTCTTGACTGGGTGTCCCACAGAAGAGGTCTTTCGGGACAGACCCTAGGAAGGCCAGCTCTGTAAGGGCGCAGCACACAGGCTCTGCGTGCCGGGGCCCCTCACTGCTCCTGTGTGAGTCTCAGCTTCCTCGTTTGGAAAAAGTGGAACAGCCTACAGCCACCAGTATGACAGCAAACAAGCTCCCATCAGGACTGGCCTCGCAGTGGAGTCTGGGGGCATGCCCCGCCCTGGGGCCACAGTGATGCACCTTGTCCCTGCCTCCCAGAGGACGAGCCACGCTGGTGGGTGCGAGAGGACTTGTGGCTAGGGGACCTCGCCATGGGACCCCACAGCACAGTCTTTGGCTCCGACAGACCCTGCCGTGCTGGAATCACCATGCCTGGCAGGCCAAGTCCAGGTGCCTGTGCGCTCCGGAGCTGTGGGGTTCACAGGGGTGACCTCTCTATGGCTCAGTTTCCTCAGCTGTCAAGTGGGGACGTCCTGAGGTTGTGGTGAGATGGCAGAAATGGAACTACGGGAGCGGGCAGAGGACAGAGTCCTAACCCTTCAAAGAAGGGCCTCATGAGGGCTGCAGCGGGTGCTCAGCAGACGTGTACAAGGGAGTGGCTCTGGCACTTCCCTGTAGGGGACAAATGTGGGTCAGAGCTCAGCTCTGCAGGGGAGAAGGCAGGGTCAGTGGGCTGAGGTCTCCTCAAGGCCTCCTTCACTCCTTGTCCTTGCCCCAGCCCGAGCTGAGTGAGGGGCTTTGCTGCTTCCTTGGGCAGCAGCTGGAGCCAGGCCAGCCAGGTGTCTCTGTGCAGCTGGAAGAGTCTGATTCCATCTCATCTCGCCCTGGTGGGCACTATCTAACACGGAAGATGCACAGTGTTTAGCATCCCTGAGCCTCCGTTTCCTCAGTGTGAAGTGAGACCAGACACCCAACATGGAGAGCTGTGGCAGAGGCTCAGGTAGCCAGCAGGGGCTCCCTGCACAACAGCTGTGGTGGCACCCCAAGCACAGCCCAGCTAGAGCTCACGGGAGCTCACCCGTGCCCTGTCTCGGCTGTGCCTCCTCACCTTTGCCCCCATCTCAGCTGTCCCCCACTCACCTGTGCCCCCATCTCAGCTGTCCCCCACTCACCTGTGCCCCATCTCAGCTGCCCCCCCACTCACCTGTGCCCCATCTCAGCTTCCCTCCTTAACTATGCCCCCATCTCAGCTGTCCCCCACTCACCTGTGCCCCATCTCAGCTGTCCCCCACCCACCTGTGCCCCCATCTCATGTCGCCCTCACCTGTGCCCCCATCTCAGCTGTCCCTCACTCACCCATGCCCCCATCTCAGGTGTCCCCCCTTATCTGCGCCCCCATCTCAGCTGTCTCTCCCATCACCTGTGTCCCCCCTACCAGTGTGCCCCCCAACCTGTGACAAGTCTCCTATTCTGGCTTCCACTCCTGCCCTCTCACCCCCCCCAGGTAGGTGCCCCACGTCTTCCCAGGTGTCTCCACATGGATATTAGAGGGTTGGGGGTCGTGCAATGAGCACCCCCATCACTGGTCCCTAAATTCCCCCATTCTCTCCCAGTGCAAACAGCACCCCCGCCCCAGTGGCCTGTGCAAGGCCCCCACTGGCACCATGCTGAATGCCCTGCACCCACCCTCCCCATCTCTGCACCTGGCCGTCTTCACCTGCCACCTGCCCGTCTCCAGGCAGGACAACAGAAGCAGAACTGCTCTCCAGGCGAGGTGTGTGCCCAGTGTGATTCCATCACCCTTGTCCCCAACCCTTTATCAGCCAGCCCACCTTGCAGGGGGATCCCGCTGAGAGGCTGGGGAGAGAACACCGAGGTTGTGCCCACTGCTGGCGGCCAGCGTTTATTTATGCAGATGTGCCACCAGCATCAGGAACAGCCATAAATCTCATGCACCTGCCACCCAGTGGCTGGGGCAAGTCCCAGCAGAGTTTCTGAGCTTGATTATTCAGGAACCATGAGTCCAGCTAGGACAGGGCAGGTCCACCTCCCGGGGGCTGCAGGCAGAACCTCAGGAGAGGGCAGAGAAGGGAGGTGGGAAGCGAGTCACGATTCAGCTCACACGGTGTAGACAGGCTGGGCAGAGCCAGGGGTGGACCCCACTGCACAATGGCAGTATGTGGTGGTCCCTGGCAGTGCCCATGCTGCCGCCTTCTGCCTTCAGGGCCAGCATCACCACACGGCCCATTATTTGGCTGTCAGTCCCTGCTCGAGGCCACACTGCTAGGGCTGGAGGCCAGGCTCTTAGCCAAGACTTGCTGGGTGACCCTTGGCCAGTGGCTGTCCCTCTCTGGTCCTCAGTTTCCTTCCCTCCAAAGCCAAGTGTCCTGAGCTCTGGGCTGTTGGCCCACCCTCAGCAGTTCAGGGTGCTCTTCATGTGACCTCCGATGCCACCTCCCAGGACAGCACAGGCCCAATGTGGTGGTGCGCAGGGCAGTGGGAAGCTCAGCTCACGGAGCAGCTGTGCCCATAGGGACCTGAAGCTGCAGGGCCCCCGGGCTGTCCTGGGCCACGTCCCCATGGGCAGCAGTGCTCAGCGTCTCCAGCCACCGCTGCTGCAGCTCTGCAGAGGGGGCACTCAGGTACCAAGATTGCTTGCCTCGCTGCAGCTTCCACACATGGCCCGAGTCCAGCCACTTCTCAGGGTCCGGAACACTCAGTTTGCAGCCAGGGAGAGGGATGGTGAGGGGCAGCTGGCCGTCCTGCAGCAGAGAAGCAGTCAGTCAGCGGGGGCCTCGGGCTCATCCCAGTGACTCAGGCCCCTCCCAGGAAGCCACTCCCAGACCTTTGCAGTGCAAGGCAGGTGCTGAGCCTTAGGGGCCTGGTGGCTGTGCCTGCACTGCCCTTTGTTAATAGGAGAATGGTTGGTGGGGGGCCCACTGGTTCTCTCTGAGGGAGGATATGGGGAGGGGGGTGCCTTGCCTGCCTCACCAGACCCCCAGAGCTCCTTGGGCTGTCTGGCCCCTGGGGAGGTGAAGCAGGACAGGCCAGCTCCTGCGACAGAGCAGCAACTGGGGCTCCAAGGGGCCAGGCCAGGGCTGTGTGGGTTCCTGAGTCTCACCTGACAGGTTCTGTGGCTCTTGGCCACCCTCTGTGCCCCCTTGGCCTGCCCCTCCTTGCACCCTGGCTGGCTCTGGGGTCCACCCAAGTGTCAGTAGGTTCTGTCTCCTGTGATTGGAAAGCAGAGGGGCCCCTGGGCTGCTGGGGAAACTGAGGCCCAAGGTAACACTGCTCAAGCAGGTAGGCTCCAGCTGGTGGTGCAGGCCTGCTAGCTGGGGTACCTCAGGCCTGAGGCTCTGGGCAGCAGGCCTGAGGGCCTAGGGGGTGGGGAAACATACCTGGCTGTCTCCCTGCAGGTGCAGCACCTGGGGACTGGATGTGGGGATGGCGGCCCACACCTCACTCCAGGCTTCACCACTCTCTGACAGCTGCAGGGGGCCGCAGAGCAGGCTGGGCTGGGGGTCTGCAGTGGGCATCTTCTGGGGACACAGGTTAGGGGCACAGACACACAGGTTAGACAGAGTCTGGCCTGTAGTGGTCACGCCCTGCTCTGAGGAGGCTGGGGCAGGGCCAGGACCACTGCTTGGGAGGAGCTGGCTGTGGAGAAACGGCTGAGACCTGCACAGGGACTGGGACCAGGCTTGCCCGGCTTCCAAGGGTCACAAAGCCCGGGGGACGTAGGTGTGTATGGTATCAGGTGGGGTTTGCAGGCTGGGCCCTCTACGGGAGGGTGTTCACATGCTGGGTCAGGACACCATCAAAACCACGGGAAAACCCAACAGCAAGGACCTGAGGGTGGGTCATGCGACAGGGACTTGAAGCATTTCGGTCTACACACACCATATACGTGCACGTCCATGCACACCATACACACACACACACCCCCACACATACCACACACACACATACACCTCCCACATACACACACCACACACACCATACACACACCACATACACACACACCGCACACACACATACACCCCCCACACACACACACCACACACACACACACACACCCCATACACACACCACATACCCTCACACACACACACCACACACACACCCCACACACCACACACGCAGGCCCTTCCTCTCTTGTGCTGCTGTTGAAGCTATTGCACAGCTGAGGCTCCTGAACCATTTGGACGTGGCTTTGACACCCCCTGCCGGAGCTGGACCCCTCAGACCTGGGCCCCTTCGAGGCCAGAGTCCACCTTGCCCGGCTCTGGAGGCACGTGCAGCAAGGACCTGGGGCTCTCAGAACACACATCGGTATTTACATTTCGGGCATGAGGGAGCCCCGTGGCAGTGCAAGGTCCTTCCATCATCGAGATCATTCAGCGGTCAATTGTAATTGACTTACATCCTTGATTTCTTAGACCAAGGACCCAGGTCAGGGCTCCAACCACAGCTGTAAGTCAGAGCAGCTGGGACCCTGAAAACACACTGACTCAGGAAATCAATGGTAGACACTGGTGCTGTGAACCCGCAGAGTGGAGAGAAAGGGTGAGGCGCTTTTCTGGAAACTCCCATTTTCTTTTTCAGTTTTCCTGCAACCCGCCAAAATAGACTGTGTTCTTGAGGAAGGAAGGAAGGCAGAAAAGGCAGCAGCAACCCTCAGAAAGAGGAGTGGAGGAGGAAAAGAAGAGAAGTGGGAGGAGTGTGGGCAAGAAGACCATGGGGAGGAGGAGGGAGGGGAAGGAGGAGAAAGAAGGGGATGAGGAAAAAATGGGGAGGGGAAGGAGGAGCAAGAGGGGGAAGAGGGAGGAGGAGGAGAAGGGAAGAGGAGGGAGGAGGAGGAGGAGAAGGGGAGGAGGAGGGAGGAGGAGGAGGGAGAAAAGGAGGGAGGAAGAGGAGGGGCTCGTGCCTCCAGGGCCCTGCTCACCCTTTGAAGCTGGAGGTGAGTTAGGTCGAGACAAGGGCAGAGTTTCCCCTCAGGTGGGCCTCAAAGCCTGGACTTGAGGACAGCTCTAATCCATGCCCTCCAACCAGGTGACCAGGAATGACACTTGTTCCCATCTAACTCCTGGGTGCAAATGGCTGGTCCTGGGAAGCCAGTGGGCACACACGGTATCTTTGGAGTTCACCTGTGGCCACTCTGCACTGTTCCCAGCCTGGGGGGCCCACTGAGACACACCCACATCTGTCCTGGTCCCAGGGACACTCTGGAAGCAGAGGTAGCTGGAGCTGCTGGGGCATAGAAGCAGGTGTCTGGAGGCTCTGCTGCACCGCCAGGAGGGAAGCAGGAGCTGGGAGCACTCACCTCTGTGCTCTGCTTGGGCTCAGCCAGAGCCTCGGGGCTGGGGCTCTCAGGTGCCACTGGCTGCGTCAGGAAACAGTCTCTGCAGACACGGCTCTGCCGGCTGTTCTCAGCCTTGAACTCAGAGCATTTCCCACAGATGACCTGCCAGACAGACAGCACCTGTGACCCCAGCGCCCTGGACAGAGGACTATCCAGGAAAAGGCCAGAGGAGAGGTGGTGTGGGTGGTAGGAGAAGACTTAACACAGTGCCTGGAGGGGAATGGGCTTCTCCCTGTCTGAGGGCAGAGAGTAAGGCTGGCCCTGCTGGGCATCTGGTACTCGCCCTCCTGGCCTAGAGGGTCCAGAGGCCAGGAGTCTGTGTGCACGAGAGAAAGAATGGGAAGAGCCACCAAGCACACGGGAAGACGCCCCATCACAGGTCATCAGGGAAATGCAAATCTTAACCAGAAACCACCTGTCACCCCTGAGCATGGCTATTTTCCAAACAAACAACAACGAGAAGAAAGCAGTGTTGGCACAGATGTGGAGAAGCTGGAATCCTTGCACTGTTGGTGGGAAGCAGCTGGTGCAGCCTCTGCTGGAAGCAGTATGGCAGTTCCTCAAAATGTTTAAACACAGCGTTACCATATGATGCAACAGTTCCACTCTGGGTATGTACCCAAAACAACTGAAAGGAGACTCTGAAGGGGGTTTGTACATTCATGTCCATAGCAGCATTATTCACAACAGCCCAAAGCTGGAGGCAACCCGTGTCCATCTGCAGATGAATGGATGAGGAAGTCGTCATGGTCTATCTGTACAGTGGAATGTGATTGAGATGCACAGGGAGCATGGGAATTTAGTGAAGAAGTGCTCCTCCGTGACTTTTCCAGAGCACTTCCTACCTTGGACACTCCCAGCAGACCCCCATGGCCCCTTCCTCTGGCCCCTCCAATTGCATCCCATTGGTGTTCCTCTCTCTGCTTCGGTCTCCATCCCTCTTCTGGACCCTTCTCCTGGCACACAGAGGCTCCTGCTCTCTCAGGGCCACCCACACCCACTTGTGCATCTGCTTCCTCTGTTCCCTCCTGCCTCACATACTGAAGGTTGCAGAGGACTTGGAGGTCTTTGTTCAAACCTTGGGACATTCTAGCTTGAACATAACCCTGCGGGCACTGGCTGCTAAGGGACCATGGTGCTCAAACACTGAAGCTCATATTGAAGGCCTCAGGAGCCACAGCAAAGGGGAGAGTGCTCTCTTTAAGTAGACGGAAGGCACCCTCTTCTGGAGTCCTACTTTTATGGGAATTTTATTTTTGGAATTTTTCTTTTCTCTATCACTTCTGTGAGGAAGCAGGAATACTGGGCAAACCAAGGCAATGAAAACCAAGCTAAGCACCAGCAGGCTGACAGAGAGATGCAGTGACGTCACTGAGGGTGCCACACCACCTCTGCTGTGTGGGGAAGTCCAGGTTGGACATGAGGACATTCACCCCAAGGAAGGTTAACAGAAGCCACAGCTTCTGATCCTGAGTAGTAATGAAGCCTGGAGCCTGGAGCAGGGGCCTGGACATGTATTCTGAGGATGGCTCTTAAAGCAACAGATTCCCATCAGGTCTGAGTTAAATCCCTCAATTCTAAAGCACAGTATGGGCCCCAAAATGAGAATTCTTTTTTTTTTTTGGGTGGGGGGGCACAGAGTCTTGATCTGTCACCAGGCTGAAGTGCAATGGCACAATCTTGGCTCACTGAAATCTCCACCTGCTGTGTTCAAGCAATTCTCCTGCCTCAGCCTCCAGAGTAGCTGGGATCACAGGCATGCACCACCACACCCAGCTAATTTTTTGTATTTTTAGTAGAGATGGAGTTTCACCATGTTGACCAGGTTGGTCTTGAATTCCTGACCTCATGATCCACCTGCCTCAGCCACCCAAAGTGCTGGGGTTACAGGCGTGAGCCACTGCACCTGGCCGAGAATTCTTTAACAGGTACAGATCACATTTTCCACTTGCCTGCCCATCCATTCATCCATCCATCATCCATTCATCCATCCACCTACCCATCCATCCATCCACCCATTCATTATCCAGTTATCTATTTATCCATCCATCCACCCATTCATCTATCCATCCTCTACTATTTATCCTTCATCCACTCATCCATCCATACTTCTGTATGCCATCAAACTATTCATCTATTCATCCATCCATCTACTCTGCAGTCATCCCTCTATACTTCCTATATATCCACTTCCAATCATACTTCCATATGCCATTTAACTACCCACTTATCCATCCATCTCATCATCCATCCATCTCCTCATCCATCCATCCATCTCCTCATCCATTCATCTACTACCCACCATCCATCCATCCATCCATCCACCTCCTCATCCATTCATCCACTACCCACCATCCATCCATCCATCTCCCCATCCATCCATCTCTTCATCCATCCATCCATCTGTCCATCCATCTCCTCATCCATCCATCTCCTCATCCATTCATCCACTCCCCACCATCCATCCATCTCCCCATCCATCCATCCATCCATCTCCCCATTCATCCCTCCATCCATTTCAACCATCCATCCATCCATCCATCTCCTTATCCATTCATCCACTCCCCACCATCCATCCATCCATATCCTCATCCATCCATTCATCCATCCATTCATCTCCCATCCATCCATCCATTTGACCATCCATCCATATCCTCATCCATTCATCCACTCCCCTCCATCCATCCATCCATCCATCTCCTCATCCATCCATCCATTTCCTCATCCATTCATCCATCCATCTCCCCATCCAACCATCCATCTCCTCATCCAACTATCCATCTCCTCATCCATTCACTCATCCATCCATCCATCTATCTCCTCATCCATTCCCCACCCATCCACCCATCCACCATCTATCCATCTCCCCATCCATCCATCTCCTCATCCATCCATCCATCCATCTCCTCATCCATCCATCTCCCCATCCATCCATCCATCCATTTCCCCATCCATCCATCCATCTCCCCATCCATCCATCCATCTGTCCATCCATCCATCTCATCCATTCATCCACCCCCCACCATCCATACATCTATCCATCTCCTCATCCATCCATCCATCCATCTCCCCATTCATCCATCCATCTCCCCATCCATCCATCCATCTCCTCATCCATTCATCCACTCCCCACCCATCCATCCATCCATCCATCTCCCCATTCATCCATCCATCTCCCCATCCATCCATCCATCTCCTCATCCATTCATCCACTCCCCATCCATCCATCCATTCATCTCCTCATCCATTCATCCACTCCCCATCCATCCATCTATCCATCTCCCTATCCATCCATCCATCTCCCTATCCATCCATCCATCTCCCTATCCATCCATCCATCCGTCTCCCCATCCATCCATCCATCCGTGCATCCGTCTACCTGTCCAATCACCCACCTCTCCACTCATCTATCCTTCTACCCACCCATCCATCCATCCATCATCCATCCTTCCAAGACTCATCCACTTATTCCTCTCCCCTTGCTGCTCCCTGCCATGTCACAAAGGTGTGACAAGTAACACTAACCACTCCAGGCACAAGTTGCTGGCACCCTTTGGAAAAATACCTCCAAAGCATTCTGTGCTGAGATCCATTTGCTAACACAGATTCAACTTTAATCTCAACGTAAAGATACTTAAATTATCAGTTCCTTCCTCAGGGATACTTTTACATTCAATATTAAGCATTGAATTTTCTCCATTCTCAGGAGGAAGGGCTTTGGAGTGAGGGGAATAGAGATGTATGCACTTGGGGCACAAGTCGGAGGCACTGCCTTCAGCAGGCCTTCAGCACCACTGGAGTGCTGGGGCAAAGGCCAGCAGTAGAAGCTCCCAGCACAGCCACACTTCACCCGCCTCCAATACTCCTTGCAAGGAATGAGGAGTATCATCTCCTTGTTCTCAAGGTCACCCAGCTAGGGGTTCTGTGGTTCCAAATCTAGCACTTTTTCAATGACAGTGAGTATTTGTTAAGCACCAGAGCTGACCAGAGAAAAGTGATTAGATTCTACTTTGGACAGGACAATTTTTTCACTCAAGGGCATCTGTGTCCATAAGCCAGGATCTGGAAGCCCTTCTGCAGGGCTGGTGTGCTGCTGGTGAGGACTCAGCTGCTCTGTCAGAGCAGGGTGGCCCCCTGTCCCTGTTCCTCTCTCCCAGTACTCACCGCCCCACACAGCTTGCAGTGATGCTTCCTCTTGGTGATGGAGTTGAAGGTCTCACCGCAGCTCTTACAGCCCTGCTTCTCCTTGTCACGTCTGGTCTTACAGGATAGTTTTCTGGGCTCGAGCTACAAGGAGGCAAATAGGTGCCATCAGCTTCCGAGTCATGTGGGCACCCTGCCCCATATGGTGATGGAGGGGCTCTTGTGGCTGTAAAAGCAACACAGGCTCTAGGCAAAAAGTGAAACATGCAGAAGGGGATGAAGTGAAGAGCCAAGTCCACCGCGTCTCTTCCCCACCTCAGCCCCCAGCGGCTGCCCATGCCCACTGCACCAAGTAAAGATTGTAAGTCGATCAAGATCTTCATGTCTGGAACAACTTGACCAATAACTGTTTCTGGTGCATCTGAAAAACTACTGAAAGGAGCGACAGCTGGAGGAACACAGTGCTTACTAGGACGGGCAGGAGGCAGCATAGCCACGGCCTTCAGCCCTGGGGAGGGGGCATCCCTGCCTACGACCCGGACCATGTGGCCACACACCTGCTCTGTGCTGGGCACTGGGGGCGCATACCCTCTCGGCACATCACATGGATGAATACAGGTGTGCACCCACATGCCTGCATGTGCAGACAGCATGGCAACATGTTGGGGGAGGCCAGGTGCAGTGGCTTATGCCTGCAATCCTGGCACTCCGGGAGGCTGAGGCAGGTGGATCACTTGAGGTCAGGAGTAGACCAGCCTGGCCAACATGGTGAAACCCCATCTCTACTAAAAAAAAAAAAAAATATATATATATATACAAAAAATAGCCAGGTGTGGTGGCAGGTGCCTGTAATTCCAGCTCCTCATGAGGCTGAGGCAGAAGAATCGCTTCAATCCAGGAGGCAGAGGTTGCAGTGATGCAGTGAGTTGAGATCACGCCACTGCACTCCAGCCTGGGTGACAGAGCAAGGCTCTACCTCAAAAAACAATAAATAAGTAAATCCGGGAGGACATGTGAGGAAGCCATGAAGAGCAGAGACCAGGAGCAAGGGTTGTACTCCCCTGCGTCTCCTGTTGCTGCCTGAACTACGTACAGAGGAGGGGGGTGTGGAGGTAGGAGCAGGTATAGCCTGGGGCTGCCCAGCCCAGCCTTGGCTTCCCTGTCTGATTATGAACAGTGCAAGGTGGACAAACCCCAGGCTCCTGCCTGCTGTCAGTCATGAGACCCTGGATGGTCATCACCTCTCCTCCCTGAGCCGCAGTTTCCTTACCTATAAAAAGGGATGAGTGACTCCTTCCTGGGCCCTAAGCCTCATCACGGACCGAAAACCCTGACTGCATTTGGCAAGCTGCTAATTACCCTTTCATGTTACAATGGCCTATAACCCCTGGAAAGGCCCCATCATTTGATGAAATGACTTCTTGGGCTTTTGAAGCTTGGCTGGCATCCAGCATTTCCTCTCTGGGGAGGAAGCGCCTCCCTTGAGACACTTTGTCATGGACACAGAAAATCCCATTAAGAAGACTTTAGAGGGCTGGGTGCGGTGGCTCAAGCCTGTAATCCCAGCACTTTGGGAGGCCGAGGCAGGTGGATCACGAGGTCAAGAGATCGAGACCATGGTGAAACCCCGTCTCTACTAAAAATACAAAAAATTAGCTGGGCACGGTGGCGCATGCCTATAATCCCAGCTACTCAGGAGGCTGAGGCAGAAGAATTGCCTGAACCCAGGAGGCGGAGGTTGCGGTGAGCCGAGATGGCGCCATTGCACTCCAGCCTGGGTAAAAAGAGCGAAACTCCGTCTCAAAAAAAAGAAGAAGACTTTAGAAAAAGGCAAAGGTAAGTATGAGTTCCCCAGGGTGTCAGAGCTGGAGGTGCTGCTAGAAATGTTTATCTCAACCTCTCCAGTGCCCAGGCACGGTAGCTCACCCCTGTCATCCCAGCATTTGGCTACAGTATATCAAACTTAAACTTACTTCCTGAGCCCCAGTTTCTTCAGTCTATTTCCTGTAAGCCCCTTTACAAAGAGAAGCTACACCCAAGCCAGGAAGTTTTGCAAGGGGCCTTGCAGAATTCAAGCATTGAGTTGTTCTTAACAGAAACACGAAATGTCAGAGTCCAAAAGGTCTCTTAGGGCCTCAGACCCACCACGGGTGACACATGGACCCCTCCATGGTACCAGCGAGGCATCTAAGGGCACCCTTGACGGGGCAGTGCCAGGGCCTCTTAGGCACTGCCCCTCCCCACAATGTTGGAGCTGCCCCTCCTGGGATGAGGCCCTGCCCTGTGTCCACCCTCAGGGCTCCAGGGCAGGGCGGTCAGCAAGGAGCAGAGGCATCAGCCCAGCCACTGTCCTCCTGTTGGAACAGCCCCAGGTAGTGCCTGCACCCCACAGCCAGCGCCTCCTGCTGGGTCATTTCTAGCATCTGATGAAACTGACTTGGTTTCATCAGAACCACTGACTGGACTCTAATTCTGTGTGACTCAGCTTTGCCCCCAGTTCCTGGAGGGGACAGCTCCATTGGCCCTTGGTGGAGACCACTCTCTGGGTCAACGCTGGTGTGTTTTGGGCACTTAGGAGGATTAAGTTCCTTGGTCAGAAACTGAGAAAGCCACAGTTCTCCATCTTCCTGGAGAGACTTGGGCCCAGCTTTTCTGATATCACGACATCCACAACAAAAACCTGAGCTCCCTTCTTTGGGTCAACCTGCATGGTAGCTTCGTCCACACAGGGGTGTGTGCACGGCCATGGCCAAGAAACCATCCCTGGCTACTCAGGTGGGCCTCTTGCCCCTCAGCCACTGGGTCATGCCTACAAATTCAGCCGCACCTTGATGATGGGAGCTGGAGGGTTGACCTCCATGGGCCGCGGGCCTCAGCTCCAGGGGAGCTGGTGCAGAGCCAGGACTCACCCCGAGTGCTCAGCTCAGCTCTGTAGCTGGGAAGATTTGCCAGATAAAGGAAGCCAGTGGGACTCCCAGCGCTGCCTCAGCCATGGGCCACACTCGCTGCTCCAGAATTGTCCTCTGTCCCTTCACTGGGACGTCATCCCCCTTGGTCCTCAGAGGCCAAGCTCTGGCTGTGCACCCAGCCCCAAGGCAACCTGCCCTCCCGCATGGTTGTTCATTGCTCCTCCAGCCCCAGCTGCCCCCGATCCCTGGGCACGTCCTGTGCTATTCTCAGCTGCCATTCAGTGCCACCCCTGGGTGCCGTGGCAGGGGTCCGCCTTCTGAGGTCCCCAAGAGCAGGCAGTTCTGGGCTGAGGTGCACATCGGGACCACCATTCCATCCACTCTCCCACTCTCCAGCCTCTCTGGGTGCTCACCAGGAGAACAGTTTTTTGCTGTGAGGTCTGTGATGCCCATTCCCCACCTGGTGTGCTTGGAGACCCCGCTGTGGTCTTAAACATGAGAGAAACTGCAGAGGGAGCCCAGGCTGCCTCACACCTGTGTCTTTGGAGCAAGGCCCATTCAACAGAGGTGCTGGAGGCTGTGGCACAGCAAGTGAACATCCCTGTCACCCTCAAAGGAGCCAGCCCTGCCCTTGGGCTCCTGTGCCAAGCAGGCCAGGTGCTGGTGGGACCTGCAGGTGGGCCACTGAAGGGAGACCACAGACCAAGCCACACAGCTGGAAGTGCCAGACAGAATTTGCACAGGGGCACTGGTATCAGTTTGTTGGGGCTGCCAGGACAAAATATTACCTGGAGGTTGAAGTTTGAGATCAGGGTGTGGGGAGGGTTGGTTTTTCCTGAAGCCTCTCCTTGGCTTGGAGATGGCAGTTGCCTCCCTGTGTCCACACATGGTCTTCCCTGTATGTCTCCGTGTCCTCATCTCCTCTTATAAAGACACCAGTAAGAGTGAATCGGCCCAGCCTAAGACCTCATTTTAAATTAATGTCTCTTTACACGCCCTGTCTCCAAATACAGTCATATTCAGAGATTTTGGGTATTAAATTTTCAACATGTGAATTTGGAGGAGGACACAGTTCAGCCCATCCCAGCCTCCAATGCTTATGCCCAATCTGAGCCACCCCTTTCTTGCTCCCTCACCCTCAACCAGTTCAGTTCGCCTTTTTCTTTTTTTATTATTATTAGTTTTTGAGTTGGGATCTTGCTGTGTTGCTAGAGTGCAGTGGTGGGGTCACAACTCACTACAACTTCAACCTCCTAGGCTCAAGCGATCCTCCTACCTAAGCCCCTGAAATATCTGGGACAACATGCATGTGCAGCGGGACTGTGATCATGGATGCCTCCATAGGCCTGGCCCAGGGCCCAGGGCTGGACATGGAGGGTCACCGGGCAGAGGCCAGCCCAGTTCACTCCTTACGTGAGCTGTGCGGGTGGGAGGCAGCACTCCGTGCCAGGGTGTCACCATGGAAACTGTTGGGTACGCCTTCCCTGGCAATGGGATGCAGGGCTGATCAGGCAGTGCCTCACACACAGGTATGGGCTGTGCCGTCCGCACTGGGGCCCTTCGATTGTGCCTGCTGTGGGCAGCTCATACTTCTGTGGCTGCACTCATACGCTGAGTACACATTGCTTTTCCTAACTTTCCTAAATGCTCCAGAAAGGGGACTGAAGAGCTCTGTGGGTCTGGGGCACAGCCAGCCTCACACTTACAGTTTGGCAATACAAAAAGTTGCTGATGGGCGGATTCCCGTCATTGAGACATTTTTATCAGCGGCCCCTGAGGCAGGCTACGGGGCTTCATAGACTTGGACAGAGAAAATAGCAGGTATCAAGGCCCTGGGGCCTGGCAGGGCAAGGGGAGCCCAGGGCATCTCAGGGGAGGATGACCAGAAAGCCAGGTGAGGTCAGACAGAGAGATGAGGGAGAGGAGATTCTCTCCAAGGCAGCCAGGGGACCACTTCCCCCAGGATGCCTGCCCCGTGTCAGATTTCTCATTTCAGTGTTAATAAGATGTCCTGGCTGGGCGTGTTGGCTCATGCTTGTAATCCCAGCACTTTGGGAGGCTGAGGTGGGCAGATCATCTGAGGTCAGGAGTTCAAGACCAGCCTGACCAACATGGAGAAACCTCCTTTCTACTAAAAATACAAAAAAAATTAGCCAGGCATGGTAGCATATGTCTATAATCCCAGATACTTGGGAGGCTGAGGTAGGAGAATCACTTGAACCTAGGAGGTAGAAGTTGTGGTGAGCCAAGATCGTGCTATTGTACTCCAACCTGAGCAACAAGAGTGAAATTTCATCTCAAATAATAATAAGATGTCCCTTCAGGGTCTTAAGAGGTCCCTTCAGATATCTGCTCTGCAGAGGCCAGGTTGCTGTGTTTCACAAATCTGGGGTCTCTCCTCTCGCCTGTTGCGATGTATTTGGAAGTCCCCCCACGCCTCCGCACTCCATCCTGCCCCTGACACTACATCCATCCCAAGGCCTCCTCAGTTTCTTCCTGGTTTCCCAATGCATGGCCAGCCCAGATCACGATGGGTGGGCCTGGTAAAGCTTAGGTCACAGGAGGGGCCGGCCATTGGCCAGCCCACCTGGACAGACCCGTATGGGGTGGGGCTGGGGCAGCCACCTGGGGCCACATCATTCCTGAGCCTGCACAGAATGTGTGAGGTGAGGCGAGGCACCTGGAGAACCGCCCTCCCACATTTGGGTGCAGCAGCCACACTGGGGTGCTCCAGGGTGACGTCGCTATCAGCGTTGGCAGCCTGGGTGCCAATGATGGTGGCTCCAGGTACAGATGCTCTCGGCACTCATCCTCTTTAACTTCCCAGATTAAACGGAGAGAGGCGGGCCTCATCCCAGTTCTCATAGCACGTTCCTGGCAGACGGGCGCATGGACACAGCCTGCCTGGCCTGGAGCAGCACCTTTGGGCACTGGCTGCCGTAAGGCACATGAGAACACAGATGGGGCGAGGCAGGGAGAGCCAGGCCTCCCTGGCTACAGCTTGGGGTGAAGGACTAGGTGGTCTTCTGCATTACCGAGCCTCCTAAGGTCCTTGCACTGTTAACACATGCTTTATGGGATGATTCACACATGTTAAGAGCATAAATGTTCACTTGGAGCTCAGAGGATTCTCACGTGTGCACAGCTGTATGACCACGTCCTACCAGGTAATGGACATCCCCACACTGACAGGCCTCCCATGTGCCTGCCTCACAGAGTCCGCTGCAGTGACCATGCAGTCACCAGCACCTGGTCTCAGACACAGCTTCGCCTCTGCACATCCAGGCCCCCATCACAGTAAGCAGGGCAGGCTGGCCCCTCAGCCCTCGGCCTCCAGGAGGACCCAGTCTGACGCTCCCTCTCCATCTTCCCTACAGGTCACCCTTGTCTGACCGTCCCCCCCCCCACACACTCTGCCTTTCACCCCTGCTGACTGCTGAGCATGGGTCACTTACCCCTGCTGCAGCCCCACAGCCTTCAGTGGTCACCACAGGCTCCACAGGGCTGGTGTTTGTGATCTGGAAGGAAACAGAGATTGAGTAAGAGGCGATTCCAGGGCCATGTGGCCCTATACAGTGGGGGTGCTGTTCCTGAAGCCCCAGCACCTCCATGTGTTGAGGGCAGGCTCAGGAGCAGGAATTCCCAGGCCTAGGTTTGGCTATGCCTCTGGGGAAGCTGCTCCCTCCCTGGGGCTGCCTGAGCAGGAGGCCTCTCCTAGAAGGGGCATCTCCCAGTGCAGTAGGTGGCTAGTGGGTGACGTCTCCCTATGGCCTGCCCTGATCAGGAGCTCTAACTCACACCAAGTCACCCAGTGGGTGAGGAGGGTCCCTCTGTGCTCTTTCTCATCCTCCACAGCTCGTTATGGGGACGCTCTGCAGCTCCCCACTTTCTCAGCAGAATGAGGCTCTGGGCTCAGCCTCTGAACAGAAAGGGCGTGGCCAGCTTTGAGGACAGCCAGGCTCAGTGTCTTATGTTCCCAGGTCACCTCCACTCAAGGCAGTCCCAGGATCTTCCTTACCGGATGGTGCAAAGTTCTTACAAAGTAGGTGCAGAAAGCAGGGAAAAACCTAGTGGACTTGATGCAAATATGAAGTGGATATGGGGGAGGTGAGCTGTGCCAGGCAGACTCCTGGAGCCAGTGGGGAGGGCAGAGCCAGCCTGGAGTTGGGATTCAGGCCTGCAGGGTCAGGGCCAGGCAGTGAGAGTTGGGGCACCCTCACTCTGAGTCATGCCTGGTGCCCCTGTGAAGGCTGGAGTGGAGGGCCTGGCACAGGGCTCAGGGCACCGTCTCTCCTGGGTGCCTCCCTGGATGCATCCTTGCTGCATCCCCAGTACCTATGCCTTCTCCGGAGCCAGCAGCTCCAGGGTCTTCCTTGCAGTGGGCAGAGATTGGGCTCCTCACCCAATCCTCTCTCCCTGACTCCAGGGAAGTGCCAGGGAAGAGGGGCTTGGCTGAGAGGCTGCAGCCCTGACTCCCTGTCCAGGCCTCTTGCCAAGGACCCTGTAGTCCTGCCTCTTGCCCAGCTCAAGTCTCCACATGAAATCCCCCTTGGGGCAGCTCGGCCTCAGGATGGGGAGTGAGATGCTCCCACTACTTCCCCCAATGGGCTCTGAGCCCACCATCTCCCAGGGCATGGGGGCACTGGGGAGAAAACACAACCACAGAAAGGGGTCTGCAGTCATGGGCCATGCTGGGCCAGACAGAGTGGTGTGCAGGCAGTATACCACGGCCCTGTGATGCTGGTTCCACCACCCATGGCCTGGGCATGTCACCGAGCTTCTCCGAGACTCAGTTTCCATGGGGATGATGTAACAGCCCTTGGTGTGCAGGAGGCTGTGCAGAAGGCACTAGACAACCAAACAGGTCATGCAGCAGCGCTTCCTCCATGCCCACGTCCTGCTTTCCCACCCACCCACCTGGGCACTGACCATGGGCCTGGGGCGCAGCAGGCTGCAGTGGGCCCTTAGTGGAGGATGGGTAGGGGTGAAATTAAGTTCAGCCTGAAGCTGCCATGGAAAAGTAGCTGACTGTTTAAACCATGTTCAAATACAGCAAACACAGAGCTGTAACCAATCCAGCTGTTTCTGTGCCTCAGTTTCCCTTTACTATCCGTGAATCTTCTCTGACCAGGAAACAGCACAGGGGGCTCTCTGGACCTATTCTGAATTCAGGGGTTATTGGGAAGCAGAGGGAGTGGGGGTGCTGTTTCATCCACAAATAGTTGTTCGCTCAATTAAATTGTTAAATTTAATTTGTCAAGTTTTTTCTTTTAACTCAAGGGAGTGCCCGCTGTCCTGGTCCCTGGTGCAGCAGGAGGAAAGCCTGGGGACCAAGCTGCCCCCCCGAGATGGCAATGCCTTCTGCTCCCAGAAGGCAACCGGTCCCCTGATGGTCCCTCTGCGCCCCAGGCCACTGACTCACAGGTGCATCTGGAGAGAGGCTGGGGTCCTCATCCTGGCTGAAGATACCACCGAAAGCCTTGAAGGTCTCACTGTTCTGCTTGTGCTTCTCGATGGTGGCCTGGATGATCTAGACACAGCAACACAACAGCAAGGACCATCAAGGGGTGTAGGAGGACGCTGCCTGCAGGAGGGACACGCCTGCCTCTGTCCCAAGGATGGGCCCTATCGTTCCCAGAACAATGCCCAGGCCACTGGCCATCTCCCTTCCCCCTACCAATGATGTGGGCTCCCCTTGGAGATGTCCAGATTGAGGAGATCCACCCCGAACAAAGAACCTGGCCTGTGACTCCACCAGGCCCATTCATGTTTCTTTGGGGGCCTCAAACAAATGAATGGGTTGAAAGGCTTGTGGAATCTTAAGGTGCTCATGAAGGCACAGTGTGGTCATGGCATCCCTGCAGGATGGGGCACAGGGCCGTCAGTCCCAGAGGCCAGGGCCCCCATCCTCTGCCCCAAAATGAATGGCCTTACTGCTCAATCACTTTGTCACTTGAACTTTAGAAGCTTCACCTGAATCCATTCTTTCTTCTCTTCCTCTGTCCTATAAAACCAAAACAGTCTTGTATTAATCCAGTCGTGGATGCTGACTCTAAATGAGCAGCCCTTTCTCAGCCCTGCAGCACACCCCTGAGCCACACACTGGCTTGTCAACACAGCTCAAGGATTGGAAGATTGACCCCAAGGGCTCCAAAACACTCGTGGCCTGGTGGAGTCAGGTGAGCCACACAGAGTTCTCTGCAGTGGCTGTACATCAATGCCTCCTTGGACCATAAATGGGTCATTATGAAGATCCCACTGTTGGTGGGGTGTGGGAGACCATAACTCCCATGTATGGCCAGTCAGAGCACGGCCTGACACCACCTTAAAGGGTAGTGTGGTAACAGCCACCAGTATTTCAAACAGATGCACTACCCTGTGACCAGCAATTCTACATCAGCAATCTATCTCAAAGCTATAATTACACATACTCAGAAATGCCTAAGAAGAACGACACTGCTTGCAGCACCATTTGTGATGGTGAGGTTGCAGGTAGCACAGGTCCTTGTCAGCAGGAACTAGTTAACGATCATAATGGAAAATTACGTTGCTGGCCTGGTGCGGTGGCTCACACCTATAATCCCAACACTTTGGGAGGCCGAGGTGGGAGGATCACACAAGGTCAGGAATTCGAGACCGTCGTGGCCAACATGGTGAAACCCCATCTCTACTAAAAATACAAAAAATTAGCTGGGTATAGTGTTGCACACCTGTAGTCCCAGCTACTTGGGAGGCTGAGGCAGGAGAATTACTGGAACCTGGGAGGTGGAGGTTGCAGTGAGCTGAAATTGCACCACTCCACTCCAGCCTGGTAACAGGGAGAGATTCTGTCTCAAAAACAAAAAAAAGAAACAAAGAAAACAAAAGAAAAGAAAATTATATTGTTTTAGGAATGGTGTTCAGATATGGGATGATTCTTGACAAATTAGTTGAAGGAAAGTAAGATGCAGGGCACGTTACAAAGCAAACAGCCATCTATGATTTAAAACACAGATATATGTGCTTGTGCATAGAAAATCTTAGCAGGGGCTGGGCGTGGTGGCTCATGCCTGTAATCCCAGCACTTTGGGAGGCCCAGGCAGGTGGATCACCTGAGGTCAGGAGTTTGAGACCAGATTGGCCAACATGGTGAAACCCTGTTGGGTTTTCACCAAACAAAAAATTAGCCCGGTATGGTGGCACGCGCCTGTAACCCCAGCTACCCCGGAGGATGAGGCAGGAGAATCGCTTGAACCTGGGAGGCCAAGGTTGCAGTGAGCCGAGATTGCACCATTGCACTCCAGCCTGGGCAACAAGAGTGAAATTCTGTCTCAAAAAAAAAAGAAAACAGCATACTAAAGGATACTCAAGAGAGGACTAAGAATGTGCTGGGCATGCTGAACACAAGGTGGGCAGAGGCTGAATTTTCATCAACTTCCTTTGGCACTGAAACCGCCCGAATAGTCCCATAGATAGTTTTTCCAATAAACATAGAAACTGACCCTCTGGGCCGGGCGCTGTGGCTCACGCCTATAACCCCAGCACTTTGGGAGGCCGAGGCGGGTGGATCACGAGGTCAAGAGATCGAGACTTTCCTGGTCAACAAGGTGAAACCCCATCTCTACTAAAAATACAAAAATTAGCTGGGCATGGTGGCACGTGCCTGTAGTCCCAGCTACTCGGGAGGCTGAAGCAGGAGAACTGCTTGAACCCAGGAGGCAGAGGTTGCAGTGAGCTGAGATCCCACCATTGCACTCCAGTCTGGGTAACAAAAGCGAAACTCTGTCTCAAAAAAAAAAAAAAAAAAGAAATTGACCCTCTGATCTTAAAGCTTGAAACTGTTTTATCTGAGCTTCTTCCTCAGAAAATACCTTCATGCTTCTCAAAAGAAACCCATTAAGTAACTGAAACTCACTAGGTCACCACATCCAGACAATAAGCTGCCCAGACCCATTCTTCCTAATTGCTTCCTCCTGCTCTACTTAGTTCCTTTCCTTATACATTGTTAGATTTTTCCCCTGCTGCTTAAGCTCCTAGTTTTAGTTGGTCAGGGAGATGGATTTGAGATTGAGTTCCCATCTCCTTGGCCCCAGCACCTGATTAAAGCTTGTTCCTTGGTAATAACCATCTTGGTGATTGGCTTTCTGTGCAGTGAGCAGCAGGACCTAGATGGAACCCTAGTGTTTTGGTAACAGTACTGTTACACTTTAACCCATGCATAAGTAAAAATATAATGCAAGGTTATTCAGTTTACAAGAAGACATGAGGTTAAAGACATTCCCTAGAAACAGCCCGTGCGGTACCGTGTCTGCAGCTCCAGGGACCTTTTTTTTCCCGTTATGATGAATGTATGTGCTGTATTTGGCTTGTTGGTATCCTGCACCTGAAGGGGAAGGGACAAAGAACAAAGCAAAACCAAGATGGTCATTTTAGCAGGTCCTTAACTCTAGCCTCATGTTCTCCGACTTAGAAGTATTTCCCCAAGGAGGTAGCAGAGGTGAGCCTGTGGCCCCATAGTTCTGCTATGGGAGAGGGGCGCAGAGGCTCAGTTCACTGTGGCTGCTGCACGAGCTGGTCCACTGGGGACAGGGGGCCTCCCGTCCTGCTCTGACACACCTGGGACTGCTCATCTTCTGTGCTTGGAATTCTGTTGACCAAACCCACTTTTCAACACCCAGCCCATCAGGCCTTCTCCCCATGTCACTCCCACACATCCCACTTGAAGACAAGCCATTCCCCACAGGCACCACTGGGCACTGCCCCCCAGAGCAGCCATGTCCCCTTAGGAGGGAAAGGGATCTGACGAGAAGAGCGAGGATGGTCTTAGCCACCCTGCAGATATCTGAGCCCTTGAGCAGGTGGGGCCTGAGATTAGAGATGTAAATAGAACAATGTATGCCCAGAATAAATGAAAATGGGGTCACTTCATAGAACCGCAGCCTCAGATTCCATCCTCTCCCATCAGGATGAGACCACAGAGACCACGGCACATGTGGCGGCTCCTGGTGGTCCCCAGGCCAAACCCCCAGGAACCACCTGACCGCCAGCCAGTCAGGCTTTAGGGAAATACAGACCCTGGGCTATGCCCAGAATCCCGACTTTCCCTAAACACAGGGTGAGAACTTCTGTGTTAACATATCAAACCAATTAAAATATGACTGATTTTTTAAATAAACACTAGGAGGACAATGGTTTCTTTCACTATTATAAAAAGCCAGCCATGTAGTTGTGGTGGCTCATGCCTATAATCCCAGCACTTTGGGAGGCTGAGGCGGGAGGATAGCTTGAGTCCAGGAGTTCGAGACCAGCCTGGGCAACATATTGAGACCATGTTTCTATAGAAAATAAAAAATTAGCCAGGCATGGTGGCACATACCTCTTGTCCCAGCTACCTGGGAGGCTGAGGTGGGAGGATTGCTTGAGCCCAGGAGGTTGAGGCCGTGGTGAGCTATGTTTGTGCCACTCACTGCATTCCTGGTTGGCTGACAGGGCAAGACCCTGTCTCAAAAATAATAATTAAAAAATAATAATAAGACAACCTTTAAAAAAAGGTATTTTCTCTAGTCAGTCATTTTTTTTTTGAGACGGAGTAACCCAGGTTGGAGTGCAATGGCGTGATCTTGGCTCACGGCAACCTCCACTTCCTGGGTTCAAGGGATTCTCCTGCCTCAGCCTCTGGAAGAACTGGGATTACAGGCACACACCACCTCGCCCGGCTAATCTTTGTATTTTAGTAGAGACAGGGTTTCACCATGTTGGCCAGGCTGGTCTTGAACTCCTGACCTCAGGTGATCCGCCCACCTCGGCCTCCCAAAGTGCTGGGATTACAGGTGTAAGCTGCCAGGCCCAGCCTAGTTAGTCATTACTTTTTTTTCTTTTGAGATGAGGTCTCTCTCTGTTACCATGCTGGAGTGTAGTGTTGAGATCTCGACTCACTGCAACCTCCGACTCCCTGGTTCAAGCGATTACATGAGCCACCACTCCCCACCAGTCATTAATTTTAATGGTATTTCTTAACCTGAATTCAGAGAATGTCAAGGTAGGAAGGGATTTTTGGTGGCATTAAGCAAGTGATTACATATTTTGATTTAGCAAATATTTCTGGAGTACCTGTTAATTCAAAGCCCTCCCTACAGGGGATGGGGACCTATTCCAGCCCCCCAACTCCCACTGCAAGGAGGCATGGAATAGGCCCTTGGAACAGGCTGACAGCAAAGAAAAAGGTCATTGGTCATTCTGGACCATGCCACAGAGCTGCCTGGAACTCTCCCCCAGGCTCTGGTGCAGGAGGACAGGAAAGAGCTCGGGACCCAGGAACCAGGCAAGAGAAGCAGGCCCTCGCCCCAGCTGGATTTCTCCCTGCAACCCTGAGCTTCATCTTTGGGTTTGTAAATAGGGTCCCAAGTCCTAGCCTCACTAGGTGACATGGTTCAGTCCAGGTCCGGGTGCCATCCTTACTGCTCCCTGCATCCTCCAAGGCTCTGCAGAGAGGGGAGTTGGCAGCAACATGGCAGGTGGGCCAAGCAGAGAAGGCTGGAATCCTGCCCTTCCAGCCTGGGGTGCCAGGACCGAGACAATGCCTTGGTCACAGATAGGGTCCGTGGCATGGAGAAGCAGGCAGGGGTGCTGGGCTGCACAGAGATAAGTGCCTCGGTAGCCAGAGCCTGATGTCCCCAGCCCCGCTCAGTGTCCCTTCCAGGGGGACATGTTTGACAGGGAGGAGCTCACCCACCTGGAGGCCTGAGATGTCCATCTTCTCCCGGACGCTGAACTTCTGGCCCATGAGCCGCAGCTTGGGCACGCAGTAAAGGATCATGCTGTTGAACTGCAAGAGGGATGGCACAGGTGAGGAATGGGAGCTGCCTGCAGGCCACCCCCAGGGCCCCAGTGAGCTTCCCACATTGGATCCTTTTCTTTTTCTGAAAATATGTTATAAAGTGAAAAATATTTTTTAAAAGATATGCGCAGGAATTTTAACTAGGGTTAAATCTTTGAGTGAGGAGACTCTAGTCATTAGCTTTATTTTTGTGCATTTTTTTTTTTTTTTTGAGATAGAGTCTCTCTTGGTTGCCCAGGCTGGAGTGCAATGATGCGATCTCAGCTCACTGCAACCTCCACCTCCCTGGTTCAAGCGATTCTCCTGCCTCAGCCTCCCATGTAGCTGGGACTACAGGAGCGTGCCACCACGCCCGGCGAATTTTTGTATTTTTAGTAGAGACAGGTTTTCCCCATGTTGGCCAGGCCAGTCTCAAATTCCTGATCACAGGTGATCCACCCACCTCGGCTTCTCAAAGTGCTGGGATTACAGGCATGAGCCACTGCACCCAGCCAAACCAAAACTTTTGAATGAGCTACTGATAGATTCACCAACATGGATGAATTTCTCAAACTCACATGCTGAGCTAAAGGAGACTCATCTCGTGGCATTGATGTGACAGTCAGGAAAGGCAAAATTCTAGAAACAGAGAAGAGATCCCTGGTTGCCAGGGCAGGGGAGCGCTTGCCCACAAAAGGGTGGAACGAGGGAATGGGAGCAGCGGGCGTGGGCAGTGATCAAATTGTTCTGTAACTTGGCCAGGCGTGGCGGCTCACACCTGTAATCCCAGCACTTTGGGAAGCTGAGGCGGGTGGATCACCTGAGGTCAGGAGTTAGAGACCAGCCTGACCAACATGGTGAAATCCCATCTCTACTAAAAATACAAAAATTAGCCAGGCGTGGTGGTGTGTTCCTGTAATCCCAGCTGCTCATGAGGCTGAGGCAAGAGAATCGCTTGAACTGGGGAGATGGAGGTTGCAGTGAGCCAAGATCATGCCATTGCACTCCAGCCTGAGCGACTGAACAAGACTCTGTATAAAAAAAAAAATTGTTCTGTAACTTGATTGTGATCATAACTGTATTCTTCAAAACTTAGAATTATACAGCAAAAATCAGTTTTAGTTAACGTAATTTTTAAAAACTTAAAAAAAAACTTTCAAAGAAATAATTGTTTATTCAAGAAGAATTAGAAGCTAGAGGAAAATGGAGGAGTCATGGTGGGTCTTCTTAGCCGTGGTACCCGGGGTGGGTCTACTGAGCCGTGGCACCTGGGGTGGGTCTACTGAGCCGTGGCACCCGGGGTGGGTCTACTGAGCCGTGGCACCCGGGGTGGGTCTTGAATTATATTTCCTTCCCACCTTCCCCATCTCTCCCAGCCAGGGTTTTCAATAGTTGAAACCATGATTTGCTGCTACAGTTCTCTGTGCTCTGCCTGGTTGCCACAAACCAGAGTCTGCTCATTTCCAGGGAGGAAAGAGGGATTAAAACATGAGATATCTGCAGCAAGTGGGGAAGAGCCGTGGGCAAAAGTTTGGTGCCTGGATGTGGAGGAGTGAGGCTCCCCGTGACGGGCAGAGGGATGCTGAGGGAGCCAGAGTCCCAGCAGAAGATGCCACAGAAGAGCCGTGTCTTTGGACAGCCAGAGCCCTGCTGGTACCACCCTGGGTGTGAGGCAACTAGCAAGGAAGGCTCTGCGGCTGGGCTGGCAGGGGCTGGGCTCACCAGGAAGAGGTGGCGGTCCTGGGCGGTGCCGTTCTTGGCTGACAGCTTCTGGATTTGGCCCTCCTTGATCAGCTCATTGGCCGGGTTGACGATGTCCTCTTCGCCACCCAGCTGCTCGTACACCTCTAAGAGCTTGTGCATTTTCTCCTGCAAGAGACATGGGGCTCAGACACCAAAGGTGTGTGAGGGTGACTGGAGACCCAGAATTGCACCCTTCCTTGCAATGAGTCACTGGTCAAGGTTGGGAGGGAAAACAAAAGAGCAATGCTTGACTTGAGTATTGAATGATGGACTGGAGTTTGCCATCCAGAACATGGTAATAATGATAAACAGTAGCAGAGCTAACTTCATTGCTGTGAGCCAGGTGCTGTTCTACCTACAATACATGTTTTTGTTTGTTTGTTTTGAGATGGAGTCTCACACTCTCACCACAGCTGGAGTGCAGTGGTACGATCTCAGCTCACTGCAACCTCCGCCTCCCAGGTTCAAGCAATTCTCCTGCCTCAGCCTCCTGAGTAGCCGGGATTACAGGCGCCTGCCACCATGCCCAGCTAAGTTTTTGTATTTTTAGTAGAGACACAGTTTCACAATGTTGGCCAGGCTGTTCTCAAACGCCTGACCTTGTGATCCACCCACCTCGGCCTCCCAAAGTGCTGGGATTACAGGTGTGAGCCACCACACCTGGCCTCGATACATGTTTTAACTCACCTAGTGAAGTGGGTGCCATTGTTATCTTCAGACAAGGAAACTGAGGCACAGAGAGGTCGGTTGAGTGTCTAAGACTCAGACTTGGACAATCCATGTCACCTTCCCCTGGCCATGGTGACTGGTGGGGTGGTCATGTGGCTACTGAACAACCAGAGGTGCAATGGGACAGGGTCAAAACTCATGGCCCAGCTCTGAGCCAGAAGCCAGTGCAGCGGAAGGCAGAGCTGAGCCTGCAGCAACCGCAGCAACAGCCACGTGTCCAAGTCTGGACCTGCTGTGCCTTAGCAGCCCCGTCCTTGAACCTGAGTGATCTCAGCCTGCACACCCAGGAGGCGGGCAGGTTTGGCTAACCCTTCTGTCTCGGGCACCAATGCAGGGAGGTGCAAATGGCACTGGGTGTGGGAGCCACTAGAGGAGCCGGCAGCAGAGAGCTTGGAGGAGCAGACTACCGCAGGGGTGAGGGCCTTTTGGGAATTGGGGGAATGGGCAAGTACCTGGAATATACACAGGGGAGCTGGGTGTGCACCTGCCCACTACTAGGGGCTAGGTGTGCAGCTGGTATGTACCAGGTGCCTGGGTGTGTACAGGGTAGCTGGTGTGCAGCTGATGTCTAGTAGTGGAAAATTGCATGCACCTAGCTGGTAGTGGGAGGGCTGGACAAGTACCTGGTGTACACTAGAAGGGCCGGGTGCACATCTATCATGTCCTGGGGTGCTGGGTGAGCACAGAGCCAGTCCATGAAGGGACTAACGCAGCTTAGTGAGTGAATGAATGACAGTAACACTTCCTGCACCAGGTCCTATTCTGAGCATTCTATGTAGTGATTCCTTTAATCTCCACAGATACCCAATGAGACAGGCTGTGTCGGTGCTCCCATTTTATAGATGGGGAAACTCAGGCATAGAGCGCTAAAGAACTCACCAAGGACACAGATCTATTATAGCAAGGGGCAGGGCTATCCAGCTGACCCCTTGGGGATGTAAATGGGGGGAGGTGTAAAGGAGTCATTCGTGGAGCCCCTGGGGATGGGGGTGGAAGGGCTGGTGCACAAGGGCCCCTGGCCCTCACACTTGCTGCAGCACCCCACCAGTCCACCCCCCACACTCACAACTTTCCGAATGGCGGCATTGGAGTGGTTGGCGGCCGTGGAGATGAGCTCTAGAGACCCTGCAGGAAGAAGATGGGTCAGCCTGGGGCCAGGGTGGCTCCGTTTTTTGCTTGCCTGAGGGGCTCCAGGAGAGCTGCCTCCAGAGAAAGGATCTGACTCTGCTCTTGGTCTTTTCCCTGGGTGCCTGGGCCACTCTAGAGGCCTGGCCCAGAGGAAGGGGGTGACCCTACCCCTGACCTTGCCCCTGCCCCTGCAAACACATCCCGTCTTCTGGGGCCAACACCAGACAGGGGGCTCTGATGCTCCATGTACAGAGGCCTGCCCAGGCTCCCTGCCAGCCACACTGGTCGCTGCCCTCGGACTAGGAGCAGCCCGTGCCTGCCCCATGAGGCCCATTCCTGGGGCCTAAGCTCTGGAAAAGACCAGCATTTAGCAGCACCTTCCCTAGACCAACGTCCACCCGCACACTTCAAGCAGGGGAGATTCTCTGCCCTCAAAGACACTAAGTCCCTTCCAGGGCTGTTAGGGGCTCGCTCATTCTCTCTCTCCTTCCTTTCTCTGTCTCTGTACATCTCTTGTGCTCTCCTTCCCTCTGTTTCTCCCTCCCTCTCCCTCTTTATCCCACATCTCCCTATCTCTCTTGCTGTCTCCATCTCTCTCCCTCCCCTCTATCTGTTTCTCTCTCCCCTACCCCCACAACCCCATGACTCACTCTCTCCCTCTCTTCCCAACCCCACAGTTCCCGGCAGGTACCCCTGCACCCTCCTGGGAGCCCTTGGCCCCAGCTCACTCTCTGCGTCCTTCAGGTCTGGGGCATCCTGTGGGAGCCTCTTCAGATAGTCCTTGAGCAGCAGCTCGTAGCGGGGGACCCTCTGAACGGGTTCCAGCATGTGATGCTGCAGCGTCAGGTTCCCGCACACCTCCTGCTTCTGTGGGGATACAAGGAGCATGAGGCACCCCAAGGACACGAGTGCAGATGCCAGCCCCGCCCCAGCTTCTGGCCACCACTGCCCCAGGAGGCTGCCCAGAGCTGACTGCCCTTCAAGACATGGCTGACACAGACCACACTTTACAACTGTGGAAACTGAGGAGAGGAACAAGGCCTGGAATCCCAGGCAGGCTGGCTCTTGGCCCAGAGATGGCTCTCTTTTTTTTTTTTTTTGAGATGGAATTTCACTCTTGCTGCCCAGGCTAGAGTGCAATGGTGTGATCTCGGCTCACCGCAACCTCCACCTCTCGGGTTCAAGCCATTCTCCTGCCTCAGCCCCCGAGTAGCTGGGACTCCAGGCGTGCCATCACGCCTGGCTAATTTTGCATTTTAAGTAGAAACAGGGTTTCTCCATGTTGGTCAGGCTGGTCTCAAACTCCTGACTTCAAGTGACCCACCCGACTCAGCCTCCCAAAGTGCTGGGATTACAGGCATGAGCCACCACGTCCAGCTGAGCTGGCTCTCTTAGAAACATCCTCAGTGGAGAAAACAAATGCCTGGACAGGACATCTCCCCTCAAGAGTGGGTTCTCCCCACTCCCACCCACCCGTGGGCCTAAGCAGGGCTTCCCCCACCCCTCTGCTGGGACATCAGGCAGAGCTTTGTCCAACTCTCTCCCCAGGGAATTGGGCCAGGGCCTGTCTTCATGCCTAGAAGCCACTCGGGGAGTCCTTCTGCAGATGGCTGTCTGTGTAAACATACCAGTGTTCTCATGGGTTGCTGAGACCCTCGAGCCCCACCCCCTGCCCAGCACTGCTCCCTGGCTCCCTGCAGTGAGAGGGAGCCAGTTTCCCCTGCAGCACCTCCTCACTGCTGTGTCTCCATCTGGCATCTGAACCCAGATATGTACGCTGAATGCTGCCACCCTGTCACCTCTGTGCTCCCCACTCAGGTCCTGCTGCCCGGATCACTCAGCCTCTGCCTCCCCTGATGATGCCCACTGGGGAGCCTGTGAGGGCCTGCTGCCTCTGTCATCCTGTCCACCAGGTTCCCCACCCACCTGCCAGCAACTCCAGGGCCTCAGCCACCCTCACCCGGCTCAGAGCCCAGAACAGAATGACTTCCAGCTCGGATGAGCTCAAAAAAGCCTGGGACATAACAGGATGAGAGAAACCCAAGTGGACAACCTTCATAAAGACAACTGTTTCTGGCAAGACATCAAGGGAGGATGAAGAACAGGATATTGACATAATCTCCAAGCACCTTCCTACAAGAAACTTTTGTATTTTTTTTTTCATGGAGTCTCGCTCTGTTGCCCAGGCTGGAGTGCAGTGGAGTGATCCTGGCTCACTATAGCCTCTGCCTTCCAGGCTCCAGCAATTTTCTTATCTTAGCCTTGAGTAGCTGAGATTACAGGTGTGTGCCTCCACACCCAGCTAATTTTTGTATTTTTAGTAGAGACGGGGTTTCACTGTGTTGCCCAGGCTGGTCTCGAACTTCTGACCTCAGATGACCTGCCCACCTTGGCCTCCGAAAGTGCTAGGATTACAGGCATGAGCAATGCCTGGTCAAGAAATTTATTAAAAGGGGGGAAAAAACCCAGCTTCCCCTGAAGAGTCCTGGCAGACATGTCCTTAATCAAGTGAATATCCCCAGGACTGGACACAGAGACTGTTCCACCTGGCAGGTTGTGGGAGAAGAGTACACACCTTCCTCACTCCAGGGAAAGGCACAGCCTCAATCAAACCGAGGACAAACAACAGAAAAACCCAAGCAGGCAGTCTACAAGTAACTAGTCTGCACCCCTCAAAAAGATAAGGACAGAGACCTCTTCCAAACCCAAGGGGACAAATGCAATAATGAGTACAGTGTGTGGCCCTGGGCTGGGTTATGGACCAGAAAACAAGAACATTATGGTGACATCCGAGTATGGGCTTCGGAGTAGGCCGCACCAGGACATCAAAATGAAATCCCTGATTTTGATCACTATGCGGGGGATTACACAAGAGATACACCATGTTCACATTCAGTGATAAAGGGTTACGGTGCCTGCAACTTAGTCTCAAAACGCTCAAAAGTCATCATCATCTGTGAGTTGAGAGCGAATAAAGTAAGCAAGACAAAATGTTAAGGATGTTTAACAATTTGTCATGTTTGCAACTTTCCCGTAAAAGTTTAAAGTTATTTCAAAATAAAAGTTTAAAGTTTAAAATATGCTTTGGATTGGTTCGGTGTGGTGGCTCACGCCTGTAATCCCAGCACTTTGGGACGCCAAGGCAGATCACCTGAGGTCAGGAGTTTGAGACCAGTCTGACCAACATTGGGAAAACCCATCTCTACTAAACATACAAAATTAGCTTGGCGTGGTGGCACATGTCTGTAATCCCAGCTACACGGGAGGCTGAGGCAGGAGAAGCAATTGAACCTGGGAGGCAGAGGTTGCCATGAGCCAAGATCTCGCCATTGCACTCCAGCCTGGAGTGCAACGAAAATGCTTTTTTGGCAAGAGCCAAAAAAAAAAAAAAAAAAAAATGCTCACGATTAAAGGAAGGAAACCTGCAAAAGGCCATGGGAAACTTGACTGTCACGCGATCCTGTTTTGTCCATGCCAGGGCTTTTCAGCCTGGTCGCTATGGACATTCAGGTCAGAGAATTCTCTTTGGTGGGCCATCCTGTACACTGCAGCGTGTTTTGCGGCATCCCTGAACCCCACCCACCAAATGCTGGGTGTACCTCCAATGTCTGCAGATATGGCCTGGGATCCCCAGGAACGAAGTTACCTTCAGGGAATGGCTGGACTGTACTGAGTCCAGGCGGAGGGCCCTCCCCACAGACTGCCTGGCCCTATGCCCAGTCTGCCTAGGGTGAGGGGATGCAAGACCAGTGGCTGGCCCGCAACTGGGGCCATGTCTGCCTCAAGTGACCCAGGCAGACATCATCCAGGATACAGCAGTGCTTCAGTAGCTGCTGCAGACAAGTGTCTGCATCCCAGTCTGGAAAGCATCTAGCTAGCCTCCTAAGGGTCTACTGGACCCAAGAATGAGGTCTGCCAGGGATGGACAGAGAACCACAGCCTGTGCCGGGAGAGCACCTGTTTCGCTGCACCCTGGAAGGGCTCATTCAAGCTCGACAACACACGTGTTTCATTACGCCACATGGCCATGTGAATATTTCACTGTCTCAGTGTCTATACAGAGGAAGAGCAACTCCCCCAGAGTAGCCCCTTCCTTTTCTTCATTCTGAAGCCTAGATGGGAGTTGCCAGCTCGATTGGCAACCCAGGAAGAAAACCAAATTAATCCTGATTTTGTCTTATTTTCTTTTTGTTTGTTTGTTTCTTTCTTTTCTTTTCTTTTTTTTTTTTTTTTTGAGACAGTGTGCAGTGGCTTGATCTCAGCTCACAGCAACCTCTGCCTCCCAGTTCAAGAGAATCACCTGTCTCAGCCTTCGGAATAGCTGGGACTATAGGCATGCCAAGCCCAGCTAATTTTTGTATTTTTAGTAGAGACAGGCTTATATAGTCTTGGGTGCTGGGAAATACATTTATAAATAAGCTTTACATTTTAAAAAGTGGTGAATGGAGCTACTTAAAAATAAAAAAATTCTGTAAGGCAAACAACACCATAAAGATAAAAAATAAAAGATCAATGGAGGGAACTAATCTGTGACATGCATAACAGAAAGCAGCTGATGTTCCTAGCATATAAAAACCTTGTGAATCCGAGGTCAAGAGCTCGAGACCATCCCAGCCAACATAGTGAAACTCCATCTCTACTAAAATACAAAAATTAGCTGGGGGTGGTGGCACACACCTGTAGTCCCAGCTACTCGGGAGGCTGAGGCAGGAGAATTGCTTGAAGCTGGGAGGTGGGGTTGCAGTGAGCCAAGATGGAGCCACTACACTCCAGCCTGGTGCCTGACAAAAGAGCGAGACTCTGTCTCAAAAACAAACAACAACAACAAAAAAATACCTTGTGAATCAAGAAGAAAAAGACCAACCCTACAGGAGACAAGAACAGCCAGGGCTGTGAGGAGGCTGTTAGCAGAAGAGAAAAGGAAAAAAGCAATGTAACAGTTAAACAAAAATGCCTGCACTAGAGATCAAGGGCAACTGTGGAAGCAGGGACTGTCCTTTGAATCCAGGTTCCATCAGATAACCGCGCATGATGCTATAGCTTGCACAGCCTCTTGAGCCACAATGTTCCCATGGGAATGCTGATTTGTCTCTGGGGGTTCTTGTAAGGATCAGAGCATCAGTAGAGCATCTGGACACATCCCATCATTTCATCAATTTTCTCCATGTTCCAAAATTTCAGTAATGTCATATATTACTTTTTGGAGATTAAAAAAAATGTTTTTAAAAAATAAAACACCTGGCTCTGTGCATCTTGAGAATATCCGTGTCCACACTCCCGCTGCCTACCTTACCTGGATGCCGTGGATGACGTCTTTAAATAGTGGGGAGCGCTGGGTCCATGTGCTCACCAGCCCCACGGCCCGGTCAAAGTTCTTGACGTACTCCCCATACATCTTCAGGAATGGGGCCAGCTTCTGTAGGATGTCCCCGAGCCGTGGGTTCGTGTCCCTTTGCAGAGAAGTGAATTGTCAGAGAAATAGCTGGGTTCAGTGGGGTCTCCAAGGTTAGTGGACATGAATGCCACCAGGGGAATGTGGGGTGGCGGCCAGCTCTGTGTGATGGTGAGCAAACTGGTCACCCTCTCTGAGCCTTAGCTTCCTCCCCATATCATGTAGAGTAGAAAGTAGTTAACTGGGCAATTAAATAAAAGGTGCCTGTAAAACAGTTAAAAGGGCAAGCTTAGAACCAGTACCCCAAACAGGAGACAGCAGTAGTTGCTGAACCGCTTGAATGATACGCCACAGTTATCAGAGAGAACCAACAAAATCCCAATATGCTCCTTTTAAATGGGCAAAGGTTAGAAACAATGGTTCTATCTAATGCTGGCAAAGTCCTAGGGAAAGTAGCTCTTTGTAGCACTGAGAATGAAAACTGCTGCTTTGGACAGAGATTTGCAAATAATTTTCAAGAAATAGAAAAATATACTAATCGCCTTTCATCTTGGAACTGTTTCAAAAAGAAAAAAGCCACAGGTACAAAGCCATCACTAAGGCGTGACTGTGGCTGTGCACGCATATATTTAATGTAAAGGCCCTCAACAGGGAGGGTGGGTAAGTCATTGGACCCCTGTGCTGTTACAAAAGCAGCAGAGAAGGTCATATGTGCACTCATGAGTTGGCAGTCTCCAGGGCCTTGCCAGAGAAAACCTGTCTCTACCAAGCACTGATTTTGTCACCCAGAGGGCCACATCCAGTCCCGACTGCCTCAGGAACACAACACAACCCGCGCAGCAGCTGGACCGCGTCCTTCTAAGATTTATAAATTGACACAGCCCCTCCTTGAGAACAGGTGAAAAGACTCCCCCGGTGTCCTATCCCAGTCAAGCTTCTGTGGTCTCCTGGGCTGCAGCTTGGAGAAGGGGCTTGTGGGACAAAGAAGGAACAGGCTCCTGATGCAGCGGGAAGCCAGGCCTGTGAAGGGGGCAGGCAGCAGAGACCCTAAGTCAAACAGCAGCAGCAGCCCCAAATGAGGAGAAACCCAACACTCAAAGTGGGCAGCTGGCAAGTCCGGGGGACGTTTCATGAATTGTGACTTGCACTGAGTTGTCCCTCTGCTAATGAACAGAAGCAGCAGTGGGACAGTGGGACAGTCCACAGGGACAGCAGAAGGAGGATCTGAGGTCCACTGTTGAGGGGGGAAAATAGCTTTTTTTTCTTTTGAGACAGTCTCACTCTGACACCCAGGCTGGAGGGCAGTGGCGCCATCTCAGCTCACTGCAACCTCTGCCTCCCGGGTTCAAGCGATTCTCCCGCCTCAGCCTTCAGAATAGCTGGGACTACAGGCACTTGCCACCATACCCAGCTAAATTTTTTTGCATTTTTAGTAGAGACGGGATTTCACTATGTTGGCCAGGCTGTTCTCAAACTCTGACCTCATGATCCGCCCGCCTCAGCCCCCAAATTGCTGGGATTACAGGCATGAGCCACCACACCCGGGCTCAAAAAAATAGCATTTTTTAAACGAAGGTGGAGTCTAATGCACTGGAAGGGAAAAGAAAACCAGCTAGCACTATCCACTGTGTGGTGTTTCCAAATGTATGTCAAACTTGATTTCAGAACCTCAGAGCCCGAGTGGGGCGTTGAAAGCCCTTCATTCCGCATCATCCACTTTCTCAGGAACTAAGCCTTGGAGATGCTGCAGCCGGTCAAGGTCACCAATCAGGAGGGGCGGAGTCCGGATCGGACCCAGGACCGTTTAGAGAACGGAGGCGCCCAGCCACCATGAGACAGCCCCCCAGCACTTGCCTGGCTCTCAGGCAAATGACCCCAGGTCTAGAGACCACCTGAGGGGCCCCACGGGCATCTGCAGCCGGTACTCACCACTCCTCGGTGATCCGCGTCTGCAGCTCCGGCAGCAGGAACTGCCCGTGAAAGCGGTGGATGGAGGAGATGTTAGAGAAGATCCCCGTGATGACTTCTGGAGGGATCCCCGCATCCGTCAGCCTGGTGCAGAAAACCTGAGCACAGAGAAGCCCAAGCGTGGCCGCTGAGCCTCTTCCACGAGCACAGTTGCCGCCCCGCTTCGGCCACAGGTGTGTGTGGGCGCTTGGGAAGGGCCGCTGCTGCCACCTTGTGTTCTCTTAATGAACTTCAGAATCATTATCCTCCCTTTTCATCGAATTGGTTCGGACAACTTCATGGTCTTAATGCAAGCTCACTTACGATTTAGGATTGTGGGTGAGGCAGGGACAGTCCCCTGAGGACAGGGAAAGACCTCTTTCCTCAGCCACCTCTCATGTGAAATGGAAGGTTCAGATTTCCTTTTCTAGCTTGTGAGATAAAAACAGTGGCAGCACCGTCTGTCAAAACGCCGGCTTCCATGGGTGCTTTATTTCCTGTGCTCATAAGCCCCACGTTGTCATGTGGGTAGGGAGGAGTGGTAACCCCTGTTCCAACTATTTATGCAGAAAAACATCCAGAAGCTATTTACATCCTCAGATAATGCAGCTGCCAAGAAGAACTGTCCCACAGGTGACTGGGCAAAGCCTTTTCCTCAGAGCTACAAGCACTGAAAACAAAAAATAAGCTTCTAGGGCAGGCCTGGTTACTCACACCTGTAATGCCAGGACTTTAGGAGGCCGAGGCAGGTGGATCACCTGAGGTCAGGAGTTTAAGACCAGCCTGATGGGTGAAATCCCGCCTCTACTAAAAATACAAAAATTAGCCAGGTGTGGTGGCGTGTGCCTGTAGTCCCAGCTACTCAGGAGGCTGAGACAGGAGAATCGCTTGAGCCAAGAGGTTGCAGTGAGCCAAGATTGTGCCACAGCACTCCAGCCTGGGTGACAGAGTGAAACTCTATCTCAAAAACAAAGAAGTTTCTAGACCAGACTTAAATTTGTCTGAGTTCTAGTATTTAAGTCATTCATACTGCACCTGTAATGCCCAACCAATACTGAGAGATACTGACACTGCACACTGAAACTCTGGGAGTGGACTAAGGTGGGCCCTCAAGCCCTATGGGCTACCTGGTCCAGCAGGTGTAGCCGCTTCACATAGGTCTCCTCGGTGTGCAGGAGCTCCTGGGCAATGTGGAGAAGCTTCTTGGGGCCAGAGTGCTGCGGAGAGAAGAGATGCAGCTCACCTGGGGAAGATGAGCCTTGGGGAATTGGTACCTAATAGGGGCTGTCTCTGCATGCAGGATGACCAGGGGCCACAAGGCGGGAAGAGGCCACGGGGGTAGGAGGGGGCCTGTGTGATACAGGGGATGTGATACTCTGTTCTCATAGATGGTATTTCCATGGAAGATTTTGGGAAAAGCACTGTAGTTTCTGGCACTCCCCCAAAAGCCTCTCTAGCTCAAAGATGACTCCACCCTCCTCGGCCTTCAACTGCAGAACAGTTGCAGTGACCATGTCAAAATATATTGGACAGTGATGTCAGCAAGATGGTGGAGTAAGCAGCTCTTGGCCTTCCTTCCCCACAGAAACATAAGGTTAACAACAATACATGGGCCGGAAGACCTGTATGAGAATTCCAGACAGGTCTTCTAGAAGAAGCTACAGCACCCAAGCCATTATAAAACCAAGAAAAGATTTCAGCAAAAGGTGTAGGGAAATTGGTGACATTTGGCAGGCTTGTCTCAGTCCACGTGGGCTACTCTAAATGTGCACCACCATGTCCAGCTAGTTTTTTTCTGTTTTCTTTTGGTAGGTATGAGGTTTCGCCACGTTGGCCAGGCTGGTCTTGAACTCCTGGACTCAACCTATCTGCCTGCCTCAGCCTCCCAGAGTGCTGGGATTACAGGTGTGAGCCACCGTGCCTGGCCTCTTCCTGTTTTTTGACATTAGGCAGGCTAACAAACCTCTGAGCTTCAGTGACCCCAAATGCAAAACATCAGCATCACCACCTAGTAGCTACATCACAGGGAGGTGATGAGGATGGAGTGGAATGACACCTATGAAAGACTCAGTGCAGGACAGGGCACAGAGCAAGAGCGAATCATCGCTGAAAATCATCACTATGGAAGTTTTCCCTGAAAACGCCTGAGACTGGGTAATTTGTAAACAAAAGAAGTTTATTTCTCACAGTACCGAGGGTGGACCTGCTTGCAAGACGGTGGCCTGAACACTATACCCTCAAATAGTGGAAGCAGTGGAAGAGAAAAAGGGAGATGAAGGCTGTGTCCTCACATGGTGGAAGAGCAGAGGAGAACAAACCCATGAACTTCCTCTTTTATAAAGGTCCTAATGCTATTCATGATGGCTCTGACTTCATGACTTAATCACCTCCTAAAAGCCCTATTGTGGCAGGCCAGTTCTCCTAACAATCACACAGACAGGCCTGCATGACAGTCACGGAGACAGACCTGCATAAGACTCCAGATACACAGGGAGATTTCCACAGCACTGCCTTAACATTGAGCAAACAGTTAAACCTACGGCAATCGATGCCCAGACATCAAAGCTAGAAATGAAACATATAATCAGTAGGAGCCTTGCATAAGCTTCTCTCTATCCTGGTGCAAGTCAAAATAATGGAGACAGTCTATTCCTAGTGCCAGGACCCATCTCGGGTCAACGGAATCTGAGACAAGTCAAGGTAACAGAGGCAGTCGTTTGAATAGATTCATTGAAGAGTTTAAGGCAGCTCTCCAGACCAAGCTGTAAAGGAGCTAAGATAGAAATAATCACTGCAGTACCACGGTAGACAGGCCTAGAAGGTACTGGGGCCTCTGACCTTCTAGCTGAAACAAAATTAACTATAAAGAAACAGAAAAATATAGCTTAATCAAAGAAACAAAATAAAAAACTCCAAAACTGATCCCAAGGAAACACAGATCTACAAGCTGCTTGAGAAAAAAACATTTAAATAGTTGTCATAAAGATGTTCAATGAGGTAAAAGAGAATACAGATAGATGACTAAGAAAAAATTAGGAAATGATACATGAACAAAGTGAGGATATTGACAAAGAGATAGAAACTATTAAAAGGTACAAACCAGACATTCTGGAGCTGAAATACACATTAATTGAACCAAGAAATTTTTAAGAGGGTTTTGACAGCAGACTTGATCAGGCAGAAGAAAAAGTCCACAAACTTGGGGCTGGGCGCGGTGGCTCATGCCTGTAATCCCAGCACTTTGGGAGGCCGAGGCAGGTGGATCACGAGGTCAAGAGATCAAGACCATCCTGGCCAACATGGTGAAACCCCATCTCTACTAAAAATACAAAAATTAGCTGGGCGTGGTGACGTGCGCCTGTAGTCCCAGCTAGTCAGGAGGCTGAGGCAAGAGAATTGCTTGAACCCAGGAAGCAGAGGTTGCAGTGAGCCGAGATTGCGCCACTACACTCCAGCCTGGCTCCTGGCAACAGAGTGTAAGACTCTGTCTCAAAAGAAAAAAGAAAAAGTCTGCAAACTTGAAGAGAAGTCATTTGAAATCATAGAGTCAGATAAGAGAAAAAGAAGAAGGGCAAGGACAGCCTAAGGGACGTATGGGCCACTATCAAGTAGATCAATATATGCACACGTAAGTTCCAAAGGAGAAGAGAGAAAAAGGGGCAGAGACTTTATTTACAGAAATAATGGCTGAAAGTTTCCAAGTTTGAGGAAAGCAATGGCTTTAAAACTTCAAGAATCTCAAAGACCTCCAACTAGGGTAAATCAAAAGACACATTATAATTATATAACTGTCTGAAGTCAAATACAAAGAAAATCTTGAAAGCAGCAAGAGAAAAGCAATTTTTCTCATGTAAGGAGTCCGTAAGATTATCAGAGGATTGGCCGGGTGCGGTGGCTCACGCCTATAAACCCAGCACTCTGGGAGGCCGAGGTGGGTGAATCACAAGGTCAAGATATTGAGACCATCCTGGTCAATAAGGTGAAACCCCGTCTCTATCAAAAATACAAAAATTAGCTGGGCATGGTGGTGTGTGCCTGTAGTCCCAGCTACTCAGGAGGCTGAGGCAGGAGAATTGCTTGAACCCAGAAGGTGGAGGTTGCAGTGAGCCGAGATCGCGCCATTGCACTCTAGCCTGGGTAACAAGAGTGAAACTTCGTCTCAAAAAAAAAAAAAAAAAAAAAGATTATCAGAGGATTTGTCAGTGGTAACTTTGCAAACCAGAAGGCAGAGGGAGGATACATTAAAAGTGCTGAAAGAAAAAAACCTGTCAACAAAGAATATTGTATTTGACAAAACTGTCCTTCCAAAATGGAGAAATAAACACTTTGCCAGAAAAACAAAAGCTGAAGGGGTTCATTACCATTAAATCTGCTCTAAAATAAAAAAGATTAAAGGAGTGCCTTTACATTGAAACGAAAGGATATAGAAAGCAACACAAAGCTGCATGATAATGCAAGGTTCTTCAGTAAAGGTAAACACATGGATACATACAAATTTGTACTATTATCCTTTTAGTGAATAGAATTTAAATTACAAAAACATTTAAGCATTTAAATCTATATGAATTTGTATACAATAAATAAAGATTAATTCATGACATCAATAAGCAGGGAGAGGGAGGTGGAACTAGAGGTGGAGTTTTTGCATGTGATTGAAGTTGTCATAGCTTAAAATAGAATGCTATAACTTTAAAATGCTTTATGTAACTGCAATGGTAGCCACAAATAAAATATTTCTAGATAAAAAGGAGCTGGGCGCAGTGGCTCATGCCAGTAATCCCAGCACTTTGGGAGGCCAATGCAGGTGGATCACAAGGTCAAGAGATCAAGACTATCCTGACCAACATGGTGAAACCCCATCTCCACTAAAAATACAAAAAATTTAGCCAGGCATGGTGGCACACACCTGTGATCCCAGCTACTTGGGAGGCTGAGGTGGAAGAATCGCTTTACCCAGGAGGCAGAGGTTGCAGTGAGCCGAGATTGCACCGCTGCACTCCAGCCTGGTGACAGAGCAAGACTCCGTCTCAAAAAAAAAAAAAAGAAAATGAGAAGGAAATAAAAGCATATCACTACAAAAAAAAAAATCAATGAAACACAAAGGCAGTAAGAGAGTAAAGGAAGGACATATACAACCTATAAGACATACAAAAAACAACCAAATGGCAGTAGTAGGTGCTTTCGTATCAGTAACTACTTTAATTGTAAATGGATTAAACTTCCCAATCAAAAGACACATTGGCTGAATGGATTAAAAATAACAGCCTCCTGGGACTTGAGTGTAGTTATAAATAAATAAATAAGTAAACAATAGTCTCCAACTATATGCTGTTGACAAGAGACTCACTTTAGATATAAGGACACACATAGGCTGAAAGTGACAGGATGGAAAAAGATATTTCATGCAAATGGTAACCAAAAGAGAGCAGGAGAGGCCATACTTAGATAAAATAGACTTTATAGCAAAAACGATTACAAGGCTGGATGCAATGATGTACACTTATAGTCCACCTACTCAGGAGGTTGAAGTGAGTCACTCAAGCCCAGGAGTTCGAGGCTATCCTGGGCAACATAGTGAGACCTTGTCTCCAAAAAAAAAAAAGGAGAGTGATATCAGTAAGATGGCTGACTAGAAACACCTGGCATTCCTCCCCTCACCCCAAGAAAGGACTAAGGCACAATGGACTAAGATTTGACTGCTGCTGGAATGAGTGGTGGAGTAGAGATGCATCTGTGATGATTGAAAGCCCAGGAGAGCAGTGTGGAGACACCCAGCCTCCAGCAGTCCCATCTCCCTCCACCCAGATAGGATCTATCCAGAGTCAGGAAGGACTTCCCTTTGCAGTGAAAAAGTACAACACAAGAGAATCCCACAGTCCTTGCAAGGCCCAAGCCCAGTTTGGAGAGTTGTGAGAATCCATACGGCCACATTGCCCCTGTTAGGATCACAAAGTGTGCACTCCCCATCCCCCAACCACCCCTGTGAACCAAGCTGCTGTGGCATGGCATCATCCTGAGACCAGAGTGCTCCCAGAGTGCTCCCGATTGCACCAGAGTGCAACCACCTCCAGAGTGCTCCCGGAAGTAGCTACTGTACCTCTCCAGCCGTGGGGCTCCATCTCCATTCCACCAAGACCACATGTGTTTGAATGCCACAACCGCAGCTGTATAGAGCTTGGGCCCAGGATTAGCAGTGACTAGTCCTACATAGCAGGGA